GGGTTTGTCAAATATTCCCTTACACCACGAGAATAGGGATATTATGGGCGCCGGGATATATTTCCTTTCGGATGAGGATCAGTTTGCTCGTCTCCCACAATTTCGGAAACTGGCCGGGGCTCGAGAGCCTCGTCTTCTAAGGCCAGGACGGCCACGTTCGGCCTGGGATGCAATCAGGTCCCAGGGCGGTGTTTTTGGCTTTAAGCCGTAACACCGCAAAACTTAGTTCTGCCCAAGTGACCTGAGGCACGTCGCCGTCATCCACGTTAGGTGCACCGAGCGTCGGAGGCGGAGCCATAACGGAAAGTATCCTTTACATTTTGATTCCCTTGAGAGTGTCGAAATATGCGCTTTTTGCAGCATAAACGGTCGTATCTTTTTTTTAACTTAGAAGTTCGATTTTATACAGTTTCAAGATACTGTAAACCTGAGCATATTTTAAGTAGTTTTTTTTTCATTTTGAGATACGTAGGTACCTCTAAAAACTCTTTTGGAACCATCAAACTATTTGCCGAAAATAAATAAATAAAATTCAATGATTTAATGAGAAAAAGGGAAAAAGCGAAGCTACCACAAACTTGTAATTTTAAAAAACCTGAACTCACTGACTTAAAACTAGAATAAGTTTTGTACAAAGTTTACACATAACATAAATACCCTACGAACGGGTGTGTTCTCTCGTCTAATCCTTAATTTAAATATAGTCTAATCTTTTGAGTTCCTGTAGGTTCCCCATGCAATTAAGTGATACCTCAAATAATGCAAATTAGAAAGAGGGAATTAAAGTTCGTTTACTATGGACAAATGCCTATTGTTTAATTTATAGTATACACATCACAATCATTCAATGATATACTAAAATAACAAAAATAAACTATTTTTCTAGTTCTTAGTCTACTATTTAATGATCACACTTCTTTAGTTTAAAGCGTATTTGAGTAAACAAACACATAATAATGTGTATTGTCCAGCTCTAGTTTCTATTCTGTTTCTAATTCTAAGCTAGGTACCTAGTTTTATAGGGCTTAAAGTACGTAACTTGCTGTTTTACGGGTTAAGAATAATAAACATTTAAAAATTATACACACACACATACACACAATTTTATTATAATATTAAAATTGCTTGATTTACGATTCTTCAAGTAACTTTTGCGTTTTGATGACATTTATGTTTACATTTGAATGTAAGTATTTGCCTTACCAACTTGAGATACACAGGTCTCTCACATCTGTGCATACATAGTAGTCAAAAACAAAAAGCTGCAGCCGTGAGGCAACCCTAAATAGAACACCAAACATTTTCTATCTTACATGAGAGACGTGACTTAATACTGGGTATGACCACAGAAAATTAGTGTTTCCGACAGGATAGGGTAAGTAATGGGCTCCAAAATCACGTTCCAACACCTGCACCGGTCTAATCAGTTGCTATTATTTATTCCGAACATGCTCCTGAACCAAATAGTTCTCGTCCACACTGAAATTACTGACTTTCCAACGTAGCAGTAACATCTGATTGAGCTTAATCTGTGTCTTTATTATAGTCGTGGCTACAAGAGAGAGACTTCTATCGTACAGGAAAATGCGAGGGACATACCGTGTGTATTTTTACCATTTAGGTAATTGAAGGTCGGTAATCACGAAATTTGGACCAATCATGATCTACTAAATCAGGAGCTACTAATACAGTTTTATCTATGCACTCGTTGCCCTGGAGGTAGAAAAAAAATTGATAAAATATATTTTAAGTTGCAAAAAAATTTCAAGTTAGATTAATTTTTTTGTACCCTGGGAAATAAAATGTAAAGCTATTTACTTTAACACTAAATAAATAAAAATTTCGCTCCCAATCTCAAGTCATGTGCTTATCAACAACCTTTTAATTTGATTAGTAAGTATAAATTCTTGAAACTTAGTGGAGTACTAGCCCTCGTAAATAAAGTACTTTTATCGTTTAATCTTCTGCAGTGAAATTTATAAATAGTCGATACTTAAAAGATGAATTAATTTAGATTAATTAATTTAGTAGAATAAAATGCCGTTTCAGAATTTTAGCTTTTAAATCACTTTTTTCTTCATAGTGTAGCAGACAAATGACTGCACACTAAAACCTTTTTTTTATGGTATAGGGGGCAGCGGAGGACAAGCAGATGGGTCAAATGATGATTACAATCTAGTTTCAAACTAAGCACAGCTTGTACTATGAAAGCTAGATTTGTTGATGAGATACTTTCACAAGTCTTTGCTTATTAGTACTATCTAAGGGTTTTTTCGTTTAGACAGAATAAAAATACATAAAGGTCGATTTACTTACTGGCGGTATGTTGGTAGTTGGCGACGACACTGACCGGCCAACAGAATAGTGTCGGTTTTTCGAGTAAATTAAAGGGGATATTTTGGCCCAACATGGTGGCCGAGCACCTTTAAATATTAAAAGAAATGTTATTCATAATCAGCTGCGGATAAAGGTATTCTTGGCATAAAATAGTAGAAAATCACGTGATCAACAGTTTGATTTACTAATGGGAGCGATTTATAGATTTATCAAAATCAGACAATTTGTTCTCAGTGCATGGAAAAAGAAAATAAAACGAGTTCAACCAGCAGAGTATCTTAGAGTAAAATATCTTTGAATCGATGGATGCAGTACGTCAACATGTGCTGTTGCTGCATTTAATTAGAAATGGCTGGTTGTGTAGTCAATACTACGTAAAAATAATTAAGAAAAGTGAGAAAGCGAAGGAGACAATACCTTACTAGTAAGTATTGTGTGTCGATCTTTATAACACATAAAGTTAATTCAGTAAAAATAAAAAAACTGGGCAATCCAAATTTTCAAGGGTATAGCCGTGTTTACCTAAAAATATTAAGTTTTGTCACGCGAATGGGGTAACGTTGGGTAGAAGATGCAGACAAGCTAGATTCAACGTACGTTATGTATAGTCTGCGTACATAAGTACTTCGTAATTAAGTACTGTAAGTCTTCTTATTCGGTGTCTTGAGAATCTTTATCTTGGTGAATCTCTAATGGTCAGAGAAAGAGAACATCGCTTATTACAAGGTATGTTTACAAAAAGTTTCAAACAAAAAAAAACAATGGTAATTTTTTCAATTAGTAAAACGAAAATTTACAAGTGATGTATAATGTTTCTTTTTACAATGAAAATATGATTTATGCCTATGCCTTACTGATGACTATTTCAACGTAGATTATATTAAGTAACGAAAAATCCAAGTAATATCTATAAAAGAATAATAATTTTGGCCTCTCTTGATTATAGAGGACCCTTAAAAGTTTGACCTGCTACAGTTTACTAGAAGTAGGTATATATTTATCGTTTAGTATTTGATTGATTTTAATTGTATAAGTACTTATTCTTTTTAATTACGTTTTGGTTTGTGCACATTTAAAAAAAAACACTCATTGGTCGGTATTACAAGGTAAGGAAAAAACACAATTATATTCCATTACGAAAGAGCTAGCTACATTCAGATAAAGCTAACGTTTATCGGTTAGCCGTCACTCGCTATCTCTTATAATATTTAGGGTTCGGTAAGTAAGTTAAAAACACCTTCTTTGATAATCAACCAAATTGGAGATTAAGAAAATTGCGATCACTATCCGTAAAATCATCACATCAACAGCCTTTAATTGTCCACTGCTGGACATAGGCCTCTCCTTCAAAAGGAGGTTTTGGCCTTGGTTGGTATAGGGTTTGTGTCAAGTTTTCCTTCTCTTTGCAGTTCTGTTGTCCTGCATAGTTGGCTCCCTTAGTCTAAAATAAAAACTTAATAAGAAAACTAAGATCTCAAGCTGTCATAGTTTAAAAAAGAAACTAAAGTTCTCTTGATATACATCAAAAGATAAAGTTATTTAAATTGCACGTGTGTACTGTTACATTCTATTGTTTGATAAGTTTTACTTTTATACTTTTGGTATTAGTAGTTTAATTTTAATTGCGCAAATTGAGTGCGTATGGTGATGACAAATACCTAACGGATGGCATTAAAATAAAAAGGATTAATCTAACTAGTAATGGGAACAACAGCTGACTATGCAATACTTTTGGATGGGTTAAATGTACCTATGTCCTTTTCTATGCCAATAACAATCTGTAAACGCAATTCATGATCACAAAGTAGTGGTAAAACTTTAAGGAATTAAAAATTGTGCTTATATTACTTCTACGATTCATTTGTAAACAAATTAAATACAAGAGTTTTTGTGCTTAACCTGTAATATGATCTTCTTTAAATTACAGTGACTTTCACTCTATTTTGGTTTTGTTTTTACGTACCTTTTTTGTTTTTTTTTTTTTTTTTTTTTTTTTTTTTTTTTTTTTTCCGTGCGGAAATCCCCTCGGATACCACCTGTCGGTGGCATGTCGGACTCGAACCGACTAAAACCGCACGCCTTCGCCGGGTACTAATAGCCGGGGAACCAGGTATACCCTAGAAAGGAAGGCCCTGGTGCCCCGACATACCTCGGGTCATCTACAGACGAGTAGACGACCCCCGCCCCGTGTTTTTACGTACCTAAATGCGAACGTGCAAAATTTTTCTCAATTGTAGAAACGTGATGTACTATCTATAATACTTGAAATACTAAGCCTACTTAAAAGCTGTGTAACCAGCTGGTTGTGTCTTGGTTTGTTTGCAAGCTTTCTGTCGTTCATTCCAAGCACTCAAACTAGCTTCTTCAATTTTAAACAAGCTAGTGTGAGTGCTAGAAGCTTGATGTGTGTTGTGTTGCTTTTTCTGCAAAAACTTTTATAGAAAAGTATTTTAATAAGATCGAAACAAACAAAGGAGCATAATATATTAATATACAGGAACGGAACCCTCAACGGAACGCTTTCGCCATTATTTGTCAAAATTTTACACCTATAAATTTGTGTTATATCAGACGAGTAGTAGTTGCTTTCTGCTCAGTCTGCGATAGTTTTAACGACAGGCTACACTACAAATTTTAAATATACTAATATATCTATCCTTAAAATGGAGTCCAAAAACGGTAAGTGGTTTATAATAACTTCAAACTTTGTGTGGTTGTGATTAAATTAAGTTTAGATCAATACAAAACTAAACGCGATTTAATATTGAACCAATAAAAATTAAGTACCAATTTCTACCTCCCAGCTCCATCTTCAGATAGGTGAAATACGCCAAATTATAGTAGCTATTAAAGAAAATGAGAAGAAACTTGCTAAAAAGTTATAAAAGGTGGCCATTCAAAGATCAGGATGGAAAGTAGCTTTATCTGGCGAATATTGTGTGTCCTTCTACAGAGGATCAATTAGTTGATATTTATATATTAAACCAACTTTAAACATGCATGGGGTTATCAATAGTTGGTATTTCGTGTTTTTGTGTAATTATGAAATACGGTTCACTTAGGTGCATTGATGTGATAAAAGATCACAGATCACAGAAAGTAAGAATCTATAATGATTGTTTAGATGCATCAAAATATTACTTTTCTTGTTTCACACAAGTTATTTTATTTATCGTCTAGCAGATTACCTAGTATTTCTGCTTTCTAATTTTATTTGAAGGTCATCATATATATTGCATTGCAAAGGGCTTAGCCTAACCATACATTCAGGAAATGTATATTTTTAATGCCGAACAAAAGAAAGAAGGGGACAGATTACATTAGGGGACAGAAAGCGGTAGAATTAGGGTGATAGGATAAAGAATAGCACCAGTCTCAGATGGGCAAGCAGGACTGAGACTGTAGTAGCTTGAGATGGCCGGAGTTGTGTATGAGTACATGTTGTCTGTCAGGACACATGTACGCAACTCACGTACACATTGTCCACCTGTGGTTAACAGAACAGAGACATCAACTACCTTATCACCATCATATCTAATACGCAAAACATTTAATCGATTTTTCGCCGTATCTGATATAGGTACGATAGTTTAGAGGAGAAACGAATTTTGTTACAAAACACTGGGTTTATGTTATCTATAAATAGCAAAGTTTTTTTAATCTACCCATTTCTTTTATTCACCATTATCATCGTCAACAGCCATTAGCAGTCCACTGCTGGACATAGGCCTCTCCTTAGAAAGGAGGCTTTGGCCTACTATACCACGCTGGCCAAACGGGTTGGTATAGGGTTTGTTTCAAGTTTTCCTTCTCTTTGCAGTGCTGTTGTTCTGCGTAGTTTTCTCCCTTAGTCGGCTCTTACGACACGATGAATAGGGGTGATGACACACGGTTTTTTTTATTACTACGTTAAAATAATAATTTTTTAGATATCAATTATATAATCTCCAAATTAAATAACTTTCAAATTATTTGTGAAATGCCTAATGCCTGAGTATGATAGTTCATAATTACACATAAATGTGTATAAACTCGGTACTAGATCGGTTATATCTACATGTATTTATATATATATATATACATAAAGATATAAGTAGGTTATATGTATATATCTATAGTAGATATATAAATAACCTGTTTAATATTTTCATATGTAATCTACATGTAAACATATAATTTAGCTAAAGAGTTTTTCCTTGAAGCTTCGTTTGTCAAAACGCGCTAATCTCTGGAGCTGTTTGTAATATTTCATAATTATAGCCAGTGAATGTCCATATCCAGTGGCCTCACCAATAGTAGAACGTACGTAGTTCCGTCTCAACTTACTCCAGCTCCCTGAACCCCATATACACCTTCTCCCTTTACCCGAAAACGGTTATATTTTCAAAGTGAGTTGGCGTTAGACAGGCGGCCAGCCATAAAAGAAAACACACAAATCCTTTTCCACTCAAACTCAAATTGCAAAAGTGTAGGGAAATGATGATGAAACCCTTAGGAACCATAGTTAGTGATGATAAATGTAGAAGAAACTGCTAGTTTTACTTGAACCCACGACTAGTTTAATGTTGTTTGTTTAGTTTGATGTTGTTTTACTAGTTTCAGTAAAATGACAGGTGTTAATCAATCTTTTATTATCACGTGATACTCTCACAGGTTAATGTTGATTTATAAATGTTCTAAATGTTAAATTGTTCTGCAAAGATTTTCTTAAGCTTAAATCAAGTAACCAATCAGTTAAAGAAAGGGCTAGTGGTTCTCATTTAGATTAATCTAAGTGCATTACTGATGATTTTATTAATTAGTTGTTTGGTGCAAAATTGTACTGAAGTGTTAATATTGTATTTATTTATTACTTACATTTTTTTCCTTATTTCAGAAAAACAATTCACCGCTGACCCACCCCCATATTCAGACAGTCCCGTTTTACCAGATCAAACTACTGCTGAAAAGTCAGGTGCTGAAAAGTTTGATGGCGCCACAACAGCAGTTCATTCAAATGCGCCAATCGTAGTACCTGTGTTAGTAGAAAACAAGATGGGACCAAAGCCTGCTGTGATTGTATGCCCGTCATGTCGTGAACAGATTGTGACTAGAGTGGAACGTAAAGTCACGACGAAAACACATATTTTCGCTGGTTTACTTTGCTTTTTAGGGTAAGTACATAATTACAAAGCTTTACGATGGTATTTATCGAATAGTGTTAGTTATAGAACAGTATTTATTCACTGTTATATATATTCAGAGTAGTATTCAACTTAAAAACCTCAAATAAGAGATCTCTTGTCAAAGTTACATTTATTACTAATTGATCATCATAAGAATCACTGTTGATGTTTTTCTTGTTTTTCATCATCATTTTATGAATTTAAAGATAAAAGAAAGAAAGATAGTGTGAGCTAGAGAACTACATCGTTTGGTATATTACAACTGATAATTAGGTACTAGGAACATATAGCTAGTTCATGGTTACTTATTATTTTATAATTTTATTATTTTCAGGGGTTTATGCTGTGTATGGATACCTTACTTCGTGGGCTCTTGCCAAAATGCTGATCACTACTGCCCTAACTGCAATACTTTCATTGGAAGTTATGAACACTAAAGATTTCTACGTTATTCTGTGACTTTTTATTCGTAAGGCTATTATTTATTAGCATCAAATGTAAAAACTTTTTTTCTAGTTACTTGGCTAAATTCGTTAGTCTTGATAACAGAAACTGTGTTATTTAATATCTTGAAGATTATTCGAAGTATATAATTGTAAACCTTTGTGTTACATAATACATAAGTATGTTCATACACGGAAACGTGTTAATGCCAGTGCACCCTGGTCGAAACGTCAGACAATTCAAAGCTATGTAGTACTTGTTACTTTATCGCATTAATTCACGTGTATGAATATGATTTTTCGAAATGTATAACTACTAAATATGTGTAGAAAATGTCTTTATTTGCATGCTTTGACATGTGCACGATAGCTCCAGGTGAAGTATTTAGTAAGAAGATATTTTCCATCTGTGAGATTTTAGTGCAAGTCAAAAATTTGAGATCGCTTTTGTACAAAGTTATTGTACAATTATTATATGTATCTCTATTAAAAGTGTGATTTTTAAAAACGTAATTTATAATATTATTATATAAAGAGAAGAAACAATATATGTTTTTTATTAAATATATACTTTTGTTTTTGTTTAGAACGATGTTTTTTTTTAATAGTTTTAGTATCGTTTAATGTTTAGCGTGTACCATTTTAACTTTTTCTTAAAACGGTTTTTGGAAACAATAGACGGGTTTTGTGCTCCGGTAGTTAGTGATTCTGATCTGTGTTAGAGATAGTGGGTTTTATTCCAATCCAGGACAAATATTTAATAATTTAATATTTTTACGCCATTATATATATATATATATATAATGGCGTTAAAATAAAAACTATAATAAGTACGACTAGCAGAGTATCCTGAACTAAGACTGATAAGACAGGTACATTTGTGAGTTAGGTCCGTACTGATAATTTTTCTGTCAGTAATAGATGGTTAGAGGTCTTTAAGAGCACGAATGATGTCGTTTCCAAAAATATTTGTGGTGAAAGCCATACCGTCGGCAACGACGAATTTAATCAGTGGATTAAAAACCTTTCAGCTTTATTAAATGTATTTTTCCCTAAATAACACGAATTCTGATGAAGCGAGTTTATTTTCTTTCTTTCTTTAAATTCAAAGGTCAGTTTGATTTAGTCGTAAATTAAGCAAACATAGGGTCACTGTGCCTTTGAAAATATGTATTTGCTTAAAAATACGATATATATATATATATATATATAGAATACGATAACTCGCAAGAAGAGAATAAAGAAATGCACAGTTAGATATATTGTAAAAAGAATGCAGGAACCATATTATTACCGGTTAATATAGCGACGAAAGATTATAAAGAATGCTTGTCTCTAAGTCATACATTTTGTAATATTTTAAGAAATAAAAATATTAGATTATAAAATTTGCATTTTTTGTTAATATTTCAAAATTGTAATAAAACCTTTCTTAGTAAGAATATAACAGTCATTTTACTTAATTTTTGGAGTTACTGTCACATCACATCAACAGCCGTTAATAGTCCACTGCTGGACATAGGCTTCTTCTTAGAAAGGAGATTTTGGCCTACTATACCACGCTGGCCAGACGTGTTTGTATAGGGTTTGTGTCAAGTTTTCCTTCTCTTTGTAGTGCTGGTTGTCCTACGTTAGGTCCCTTAGTCGCCTCTTACGACACCCACGGGATGAATAGGGGTGGTGACACTCCGTATTCTTAATCCGTCACCACACAGACGACACGGACGGAGTTACTGTACTGTAAATAAAAAAGTACTCTTAATGAGCTGTAACTGAAAATTAGTACTTTTTTATTATATTCTTGCAAAACTTATTAAAAAAGAAATAAGATACGCGTATAACAAAATAATCCTATTATGCGATAAAAACAAAAACTATGAACTCAAAGGACAATGGCAGGTCCCATACATAATTTTATTTGAACTGAAAGTGTAGCGTTTAAATATCAAAAATGCCTAAAACACTTGAGAATTTATTCTTGACCATTCTCATAACAAAATTACTAGCGAAAGAAGTCATCTAGGAAAGAAGGTTCCCACATGGGACGACACTTTGTGTGATTCGCAAATTGTTGTTCTGAGTCTGAGTGTTCTTTGTGTCCATTTCATGTATGTTTGTAAAGTCCCCGCGACTCATGGTATATTATTCCTAATGTGGGAGTGGTTTTAAAAGAAAAACTATACTAAATAAAAAAATTAAAAACATAACATATATGTGAGTTTAACACTACATTGAAAAATAATATAAAAACAAAAAATTGCCGTGTAAGCAATGGTCATGAAGTCATGCGTGTGAGTGTCAAACGACAAGACTGGTGAGTGTGGACATTTTGAAAATCTCGATGCAATTTATGAGCCGTTTTCAACGACAATGTTTTTTTCTCAGCACACTGTGCAGTATATTGTTATACTGCAAACATTGATAAAGTAACGTAACTATATTCTATTAATTTAGTCTAGCAAAAATCGTTTAAAAAGAGTCAAAAATATTCCAAATGATTTCTAATTATGGTGATTTAGTCACTCTACCGTGCGAGTGAACCCGTTTGCAGAAGCAAATTCATAATCATAAATGGTGAACCTTCGGTAGATATTTCAGCCAAAGTTATAAAAATCGATTATCGATAAGACGTTTCACAATATAATAATGCCATCACGCATCCTTAGTCGGTTATACGTGATGGCGAATCTGACATTACGTACTTATCAAATAAAATCTTCAAAAATATCCGATCTCTTATAAGACTTATACAACACATGGTAGTGTAATGATAAATCATAGAAAAAATATTTATTAAATAGGTATACTGTGAGTCAATTTTTTAAACGCTTGAGTTTAAGGTAAATATGTTTCTGCCATTGTTCTTTCAGTCACTTGAAATGAAGAGGTTTTTTACTGCAATTATTCCAAATATTACATTGTTCCAGTTACAAATTTGCCTTAAAAAGGTAGATAAAAATTACCTTTATTTATTAATAAACAGATTAGTTTTTTTTATTTCCTTTTCCTTTATTATGTTGTATACAGTAGTTAATGTAGATTTAAGCAACAAGGAAATGCTATGTACTAAAGAGAGCTGAACCCAAGTGTGTGTTCTCCTCCACAGAACTATAACGGAACGTAAGGGCAAAGTTATATGTATTGTGTACATAGAATGAAGTAGAAAAATATACATATAATTCGTATAGTGATATATATAATACATAGAAATACATACAAACACGCAAACATATAAACTCCTTGTATAGATTATTATGTACGAATTTGTTCCCGGTTCATCCCCCTATTTAACAGCCTTTAGTAGTCTACTGCTGAACATAAGCTCTCTCCTTAGAAAGGACTAGCTTCTATACAACGCTGTCCAGACAGGTTCGTGTAGGGTTTGTTTCAAGTTTTCCGTCTCTTTGTTGTGCTTTTGTCATGCGCAGTTTGCCACTCTGTGTTCTTAATCCGACACCACACAGAAATTTTAATATTTTTAGCACGTGTAAACCATAGTATTATTTTCGGGCTTTAACTTTGAATCAAACAATTCCAAAAATATAGTCGTCAACGAGGCGGTAACTCTTTAAGATTACACGCCACGTCACGCCATATAGATAACGTATCGGTGTAGAATAAGGTAATAATACTACCTTGTCTCAGCAGCTTGTCTAATATATATCACTAAAGTGCCAAACAATACACGTTGACAATACCACTAAGAAACTTTGATACGTACCCTTATTAGTAGCTAAACAAAGTAAAGATCCTAATACACGAACGTCATATGGTTACTGGTTACTTCTTATTACATGGCTTAGTATAAGGAAAAACATCAAAACAAAAGCTGTTTAAATTACATTATAGAATAATTATTACCTAGATATTGCCTGGTGGTCGAAGTTCGACATAAATAGACAAATTTTTGTTACATTACATTGACCAGTTCAGAAACGTCACTGTATAGTATTTAGTACTCGTACTATGCCATCTTAACGTCTGTTATGATTGTATTAACTCGGTGTAACCGTTTGAACGAAAATTTGGATCACATATTGTTAAACATATTAGCCTTCTTAACCTTCTACTTTAAATAAACCTTATTGATGCCAAGTTTCACAGTAATCAGTTGGTGATTTTTTGTTTGAAATGTGTATAAAGAATTCTCCTCATGTATAGTAATACCGAAAGAAGTTTTCAATGAAATCGCTTCAATAAATACCGACTATAAGATGTAAGTTATTATGTACAAATTAGCTCGCAAAGAACAAAACACAAATCTCCTCGGTGGTGCAGTGGTAACGTTTGCGACTGCTGTGCTGAGTTGTCGGGTTTGACTCCCGAGTCGGACCAAATATTTGTATGATTTGCATTGATTTGCAGATATTTGTATTTACAAAAAAAATATCAGTCAACCTACGAGTAACCTTCATGGTACAAGCTCTGCTTAGTTTGAAAATAGATGGCGTTGTGTGTCAGTTGGTCATCAAAATATCATCTTAAAAACAGTTGATGGCCAAATACAGTCATTTAAATTGCAAGACGTTTATTTTTACATTTTTGTGTAAGGGGCTAGGAAATAAATAAATCTGATTATGACAAATAGCGTTATCGTTTATCGTCATTCGTCACCACTTAGCGATAAAGAATTTATCGGAAATTTTTTGCTTATAAAATTCTATCTTATCATCCAACTATTAGTTCTCTTGTTAAAATCGTAAAAGTAGTTGGTGACTGGCCTACCTAAAAATACTAAATTTTATATTTAAATTGTTAATTTTTACACTCGTGTCTACTGTAAAATGGATTCCGGTAATGGTAAGTGGACAACATTTATGATAGTTTGGCTGAAAACCTTGACCAAGAAATTCGATGATGGGTATTAGTAATCTTTTACTATACAGTTAGAACCAATGTTAGCATTTTGTATAATTCTACAAAAAAAATGTAGTAGAGCAGGGCTAAGTAAAATACATAATTAAGAATATGGCAAATTTATACCAAAGTAAAGTAAATTAATTAAAGTAAATTTATAGTAAAGTTTCTCATTTAAAAAAAATGCTATATTTAAGAGAAGTGAATCACAACCCCTTCCGTGGAGTCTTTGCAATGGGCCCATTAAGTGTGGTATTAGTGGGAACGATTCTAATGTACCACTTTACCGCTAGCCTTGGTGTGATAATGACCTCCTTCTGTAAGCAAGTTATGCTTGCGAGTCCGAAATAATCACCCCACTGGTGAGTGATATCCGAGGGAAATAACGATTAAGTTTTAAAACATAATTATAAATCATGTTGAATACAACCGACGCGTGGCATTATTTTCTTTACAACCTTTGTATCTTAGAATATTTTGTTTGACTTTACTTTCAGACAAAGGTACTAGAGTTAGCCAACCTCCTCCATATTCAGAGTATCCTGGACCAGCACCTCAACCGCAAACGTATGTAGCTGCACCTGTCGTCATGCCCGTCGTAGTAGCATCGCGTATGGGACCAGAACCGACGCCATTTGTTTGCAAATCGTGTCATGCTCAAATTGTTACAAGAATAGAAACAAAACCTACTACGAAGACTCATCTTTTCGCACTATTACTCTGCGTTATAGGGTAATTGGTTTCATAATAAACTTCTATAAGCGCAGTCTAAACGAGCTTATCTCTTACTTTTGTGTTAAGCCATAAAAAGTGGCATGTTACCGTCTTAACAAGAAAAACAACTGAACTCAATTATCAGATTACCCATACCCTTAACAATTTTACCCGTCCAAACAAAACCAAATTGGTAATGTTTATTAAAAGCAGTCGTTGGACTAAAATTGATCGTCAAATGTGTTTTGAGCGCAAAAAAAGAAATATTCTAGTAAACTGCAAAAAAATCTGTCAAAAATGTTTGATTTTTTGTTTAACCAACTGCAAAATAATACTAAGTGAGCAACGGGAGCTTTCAGTATATATAGTAATTATACTCTTTTTCTAGCCACTTAAAGAATAGGCGACAACAAGTATCGTACTTAAAATAAGTAGACGAGAACTTAATATAATGTACTTTTATTTCATTTTCAGATGTTGGCCTTGTGTATGTATACCGTACTGCGTGGATTCCTGCAACAACACTAATCATTACTGTCCAAACTGCAACGCCTATCTTGGAAGCTATGATAGTTAGAAACCTTATTGGATAATTTGTATTTTACGAGTATTGGACGAGACTTTGAAAATTATTTAGGCTTATTTTGCCTTTACGCAAGTAAATGAAAATGTGTTTATGCCCAATGATTTGCATACAATGGTTATTGTCACGTGAAGTACACCGGTGAATGTTTCTGAGAACAAGAAACTTATCATAAAAATATTCATATTGATATATTCTAAAGTGATTATTTCTGCTGTATGTGGATGTGTGTGTGTGTTTGTAACAAAAATTTTTACTTGAACGGAATTTATTATTTTAAAAACATCAATCAAAACTGTTTTTTTAACATTTATGCTCTCTTGTAATCTGCTTGAATATATAATCCGATGATAAGCATTACATTTGTGTATTATAAAAAACCTATTTGTGGAGTTATTGTTATCTGTGATAAATTAGTTTTGCCAAAAAGAATTTCATTTATCTATCTTTCGTTTACTTCGATGTGTAGGTAAATGTACATTAAAGGAAAATTCATTTAATGAAATTTAAATAAAAAGTAAAATAATATAGATCGTTTCCTTTATTTTCTTAACTAACTCTTTATTGTTATGATGATTTTTTTTTGTATTAAACGTACAACAGAATATGTCAAAACGCCACTTTTGAAGTGGCTCTTTTATTGACACATCGTCATATATCTATTACAATTATTTTTCTTTTAGTTTTGTATATTATTTGTATTATGTAATTAAATTACATCAACGGTATTTGTTGTTTATTTTAATAAAAAATGACCTTTAAAATTTTTTTTGGAACTATATTGAAACTTTTACATGTTTGTGTGTTTTTTTAATTGTAATTTGACATATATGCTCAACGTAATAGGATAATACTACACTACGAACAGAATAAAAAAGCGGCGAACTAGGAAAGCGGCGTAAATCTATTGAAGCCATGCAATATCTACAAGAGTTTATTTCCTTTTTCATTTAGAGAGCTCTGTGAGCTTTGATTTAACTATTCTAAACAACGACTTAATTATAATTTAGAGCAACAAAAAATCAAATGAATATTAGGAACATGAGGAACGTGATGTTACGTGTAGAGCCTCGATAGAGCGGGCTACAGTGGATAAATTTATTGATTGTCTGTTCCAGCATCTGTTACTCGTCACTTGTTATCGAAACTTATTTTTAGCTCTAATCTGTTGTATGCTGGGCAACGTAGTTAGTTCTGTGTTGTTTTTAACCGAAAAAACTTGTTACTGAATTCGATACAAAATATTTTAACAAAAGTTACATAATACATTACTTTTTTAGTGTTAAAATGGAATTTAATAATGGTAAGTGCTATTGTTTTATACATTGTTATTAATATATCGATCATGCCTCTACTTTCAGAGGTGAATGTTGGAGGTACAAAACACTATGATTTAGTTGGTTGTTAGATTTCTATGTAGGTACATAGGTAGTAACCGTTGAGCGTTTAATTTTTTATTCAATTCAATGCTTTTGCGACTTATTATAGAAATGTTATTTTGAACAAGACAAGTGTTACTCCAAAATTTAAGTATTAAATTGTTATCTTTAGTTACTCAGGGTGCTGATTTTATATTTTTATACACTTAGGTTTACAAATTAAAATCTATTTTCTTTTATATGATACATGTTGATTCTGTGTTCTGATATGAGGAAACGTGTATATCGAACAAAACATACATCTCGCAGTCAATATTTCAGCTTTTATTTTTTGAAGTCGTTTCAACAATTTATCTAGTAAATATATGTATCATCGTCTATATCTTATCTAGATATTAGTGTGTTGAGAATGTTTCGTTTCCCTTTTGAAAGCAAAAGTCACCAACTGAGAAATGTGATTATACTAAAAGTTGATACGTAAAAAAATCAGCTCAGAATACAGGTAAAATTTTCATGGGGCGTAAAAATCATTCAATGAAAGTTTAACTTATACTGAAAATTAGTAACCCTATTTATTTATATTTACAAATAGGTTTAATAGGGCATTTTAACACTGGGCGATCTCCGGTAGTAGACATATTATTTAATCACCTTTCTAAGTAGCACTTTATATGAATCAGTATACTTGTAGAATTGTTTTAATCATTATACGTGACTCTCTGTCTGCCCGATAATAGATAAGGTTTATTAAAAAATGATAATTTCAAACACTGCTATCAGTTCTGAACTTTAGTTTTAAAGGGTAACAAAGAAACCGACAAATAATGATTTTGAGATTTATAATGTATGGGATATTAAAATAGGACCGGTAGTAACAAAAGTTTTAATAATTCATTCCTTTTATGCTCGTATGCAAAAATAACGTATAAAAATCTACACTTTCCTAATTAATTACAGAAGTACAAATGAAATAAATAAATAATTGTACTGTGGTAAATAAAACACATTAATAAATTATCAATTAATGTATGAAGTTAATAAAATAGGTATATATGATTAGGAAAAGACAAATATTAGGATTTTAGGTTTATTTTTTATGTTTGTGTTTAATTCATCATCCGAAAATTACTGCATTAGTGCGTATGGATTTTAAAACAGGCGATAATTTTGTCATTGTTTTTTTTTGGCAAAAAACAGAAGTCATTTTCGTAGTTCTAAGTTATTATTATTAGGTACTAACTGTTAGAACTCCAGACCTATTGACTTCCAATTGGGATAAATGTAATATTTATTTCTAATTAATAAAAAAACTAATAACTTTTATATCTTAATTTCAGAAAAAGTGCCCAGACCAATGAACCCTCCAGCATATTCAGAATTTCCCCCAGAAAAAACCACCATGCAAATGCCTAGTGTTGTTATATCCCCACCGTTGATTCAGACAAATACCCCTGTCATCGTACCCGTTGTGGTTGGACGTCAGATGGGACCAAAACCAGCTTCACTTTCATGTCCATCTTGTCATGCTCAAATTACAACCAGAGTGGAGAGGAAGACTACAACGAAGACGCATCTTTTTGCACTTTTACTTTGCTTTCTTGGGTAAGCCAAAACAGGTTTTTACACTTTTATGATCTTTGATTCTTTTTTATCGTTTATCGTTAGTTTCTCAATTGAATTATGTAATATAAAATAAAAAGGCATGTGAACCTAAACTATTAGTGTTATATATATGGCATTTGTAAAATACTACAATTATATAAAAACTATGACAAACATAAAAAAAAAATGACAGGCCTCGTGGTAATAGTAGCGATCCTGACTGTCAAGTAAGACCTAGATATACTCGTAGATACCTTTGTTCCACGCGGGGAATGCTATTTGCACCATACCCACCGTTGGGGAAGCGCAGGGCGTGTGTGGGATTCCCGGAGAACCGGTCTACCCACTAAAGGAGTCCTCATTGCAATCCCCTATGTCTGAGGGACATCCCGGGGTGACAGTAGTTACCCTGGGGCGGGACGCTACCGCGCCTCTCACTGCTCTATACAGTAAGAGGTGCAATATCGCCTCGCCTTGGATGACACTCATCGGCTGCACCGGAGTGTCATCTGTCTCGGGTCGTTTGCAGCGGCCACATGGCCCCACGATGTGACCCTTAGACGGCGTAATGGCAAGCTAGCAACCTCTGCCGCGTCCCCTTTGCCGCCTCCTTCGAGCGGGATCTTGAGAGGGCCGCCTCCTCCTGGTGCCCGCCCGGTGAGCATCTGAGTCAATCGATAGGTGACACAATCGTTCCTCCTTACCCACGCTTCGAAGCTCGGAAGAAAGGCACCGATGGCGCGTTGGCTAGCACAGACCTAGATTTCGAGCCGTGCCTGCCAGAGCCTGCGCATGCGCATTCCGCGGTAGTATTCAGGGCTCATGATCCGGAGCGGCCTCTTGACCATTTCGACCGACAGAGCGAACTTGGTTATAGACCATCGCGTCCATGGCGGCCAGAATGTCGAAGGGTGGAAATCGCTCCAGGACCGTAGCCGCCTCCAACGAGATCATACGATAGCAACTTACGATCCATATGGCCATCAACCGCTGCAGGTTTCTGATTAGATCAGGGCCGACTCGCAACAAGTGCTCGCCCATACGATCGCAGATAACCCTCTCAAAGAGTTGCCCCGACTAGTTCAGCAGTCATATCGGTCGGAATGCAGAGGTAGAATCTGCAGTTCCTTCCTTCCTTTTTCAAGAGCACCAGTCTCGCTTCTTTCCAACCGAGGGGGAAGACACCGAGGCTAAGACAATCCCTAAAAAGCCACCTCAGTTTGTCCCCCAGGATATAGTTACCTACAACCTACTTAACTAGACGGTAGGCTATAAAACTTATTTTAAGGTAAGACGCCCTGAAAAATCCTAACTGCAATTTTTTATATTATTTTACAGATGTTGGTGCTGTGTGTGCGTACCTTACTGCATGGACTCTTGCCAAAACGCTGATCACTACTGCCCAAGCTGTAATGCATACATCGGCAGCTATTCTAATTAAAGCATTAAAAAGTCTTTATGGCAGTAAAGAAACTGGTTGCGCTATTTCAATGTTATAGCTACAAATACCGTTGTTATGTTAATTTCTGAAAATTTCATTGATAAGTCCATCGAGGCAACAATTAGTTATTTCGAATATTTTGTTTATACCACCATCAGTGTTGCTTTCAATATTTCACATAATTTAACGAACTTTATAATATATAAACCAACGATGACTTAATTTACTCCTGAGACTAATTTCTGAACTACAATGGCATGTAGTCGTCTATTCTCTAGATTCGTAAATTTTAACATGTTATTAAACTCATAATAGCGTTACTTTAGGCATTAGCATTTGTGTTTTAAAAGAGTTGACATTGATTTATTGATGAATGAAAATGTTGTTCGTTTAATTATGTTTACGGCAATAAATGCACCCACGAAAGGTATAGGAGGTATATACGTTTCGACGAGGTTGCAATCTGCTATTTTATGTTAACGCACAAGCCACTGTCATTTCATTGACTTCTACTAACATAAATTGGCAGTGTCAATAGACTGTCCATGTAGTGACAATGGCTCGTCAATGGTGATATCAGCAACATTGCCATATCAGAAAAATTAAGTATTTCATTTACTTACAAATTTAAAATGTGCCGTGTGCCAAACTTTTACAATGAGATCGACGACATTTCAGTGACAAGTCCTCAGGAGACCATTGGTAAGACTATAGTTCAGAGAATACGAAAAGTGAAAAAACTATTAAGACGACAGTCTATTGATACAAATTTAAATTAGCAGAATTGAGGCCCGGTATGTACTTAAAACCGGGTATATTGTGAGCGCAATAATTCCCGTGAACATAAATATATATGTATTACAGGATGCGATAGTTTAAAAGATGTTTGTTGTAGTAGAATTTAGTAAATTTTAGAGCTGATGATGATGCGTTAGAGTACATTGCCGAATCGTACTGATATGTTATGATATCATTTTATCTTATCACGAAGTTTTCATGTTAAATAACTGATATTAGAAAGTTACTATTATGAATATGAATTATTATCCGCAGTTATACGTTAGAGGTTCATAAATACCTGTTTTCTTGAGTAAATTCACTTCTATATTCCCGAAAGGGTATATAGGAAAGTACAAAAACGTCCACGTGGATAAGTGGTTACCGAATAGGTTATATTACAAAATTTAACCATTCCCAGCCAGGTCAGTCTATGGATGGGTGACCATTCTTAATACATTGAGACCCGGCCACTGTGCGTCGGAGAGCACGTGGAGCCGTCGGTCCCAGTTACCATACGAACATCTGTGGGAAGCGTTACGGGTAGTTGGAGTCCTAAAAAGTCTACAACAGTTTTTCTACAGAACTTCGGTATTGCCTTAACTTGGGTTTGATGGCAGTCACTACGAGTGAAAAATCGAAGTTCAGCTGTATCGTAGTAGACTTAAAAGCAGTCCCTAACCTAGTTTTGAAAAAGGTTCGGAGGAAGTGTTTTAGTCCCGGGGCAATGTATGAGTCAGTATATTGAAAGAAGAGGTAAGAAGATAAGGTAACGGTAGAAAAGGGACATTACTTATATATACATATTGGAGGATGTAAGTAATAGCTGGAGCATGTCGGAGTTACGTACTATACTATACTAACTTGACTATTAATAAATTGAAAATAATTTTAGTAAATTAAATAAGTAATATTTGAAATAGTGCAAGTGCGTTTTCATAACATGGTACGGTAACTGAAATCGATCTTATCAATAAAATATCTCGATGGTAATAATCAAGATAATTCCAATAATCATTATAAATTAGTTTTATTATTATCGTAATTTAGTTATGTAGCATAAGGAAAAAGTATTATACTTAAGTATATCTTATATATATATAGATTTGCTGATAGTGTTGCTTGCACTACTACAGTGTGAGTTGTGGCTCTTCGCTTTGCATGTGTTTTCATCTATTTACATATTTAATCATTTAATTAGAATGTAACTTGAGTAGAATGTTTTTTGTGTATGTGTGGAAGCTCGTTATTAGTATTTCATCAACTAAATTACTGATGTACTTGTACTGTAGCTGTAAGCTAACCAAATAAAATAAAATAAATAAAATGTATTCCTGTATTTCCTGCATTTATCTAGTTACATAAATCATTTTACTAAAACATCTTGTCGAATTGTAAGTACAGACAGTACATTTAACGTAATCCTATTAATATTACGAACTTGCATTAACAGGTTCACGTATGTAGATTTGTGTTTCCGTGAATCTGTGTATACCAAATACTCTTACATTCTTCAAATAATATTCTAAGTTTTACCAAAATTATTTAACGTCTCTATATCCAAACACTAATCAACACTTGTTATGAGCCTAAAAAATCTAAGCGTATTAAGACAAGCCCCTTATTGAAGATCAGTGCAATATTTATTTATGTAAATGTACATGCGAAAGTAGAAGAATGTAAAGTTTTGTAGGAGTTAGAAACATTGTGCATAGAACATGTTTTTTAATTACTTTTAAAATGAAAATTAAACACACCTATTCTTGATATTTAGAAAAACATCGTCGTAAGTTAGAGTGTCGTGTTCCGCTATTTCCATAGTTCAGAATTTAGTCTAAATTTTATGTAGTATATAAGGTGGTATACATGTTTTAAAGGTTATGTTTCGTTTACATAATTAATAAAGTAAGTCTAGGTTATAAATATATTTATAATGTTAATTGTAAGTAATAAATATTATGAGAGGGAATAAAATTTATAAACCAATAAAAATATTGTTTATTTATTTAAAACCTTAAAATTCAGTTAAACGAAAACTGTAATATTTATGTCGCTTCATAGTAAAAAGCATTTTTTATCCAAACATAAGCTGGCAGGTTTTAGTGATACATATTACTTCATACAAAGCTAGCTCAGCACCTTATCTACCAACATTTTTACGTTCTTATCTAAGGACGTTTTATCTATGAGTTCGTAATCACACCAGAACTACTTCAGTCTCTTTCATATCGCATGCATTATATTCGCTAGTTCATAACAAAGAATATTTAATACATATACAGTGTTTATTTTTATATAAAATGGAACATAAAGATAGTAAGTACATCTATTCATTAAGGTGCTTGTATGTGCCTGTATTATATGTATATTTATCATACCTTTAATTTTAGGTGAGATATTTTGATAAAATCCTCGTCATCCGCCATCTACATAAGTTGCTGAGAACTTTTGCATATCCGAATAGTGTACGTTTTAATGCGTATTAATGAATAATAGTATGGATAATGTTTAGTATGAATAATATTTAGTGTAAACTTAACTCAAATTAACTATAATCACGTACTATATTTCATACATTTTCCCAACAAATACTTCGCTCATTGACAATTTTTCATATTTTTTTAGTGAAGGTAGGTTTGTTGCGATTACTCACAGTGAAACTTAAAGAGTGATTGTGCAATAAACATTCCATAGCCATAGCTAGCAAGACTACATAAATTGTACTTGTGTCACCTGCATTTGTTGTCAACACATTCTGAGTCTACTTTAATATGTAAACAACTTCCAATTTCTTGGTCAGTCCAAATACTGTTAGAATAATTCTATTCATAAAGTTATGGTTCACTAGCAGGTGATTCAGATGCAGTATTGCTGGGGATTGAGGCTCAGTTTGTGTCTATCAATCAACCTATTGCAGTCCACTGCTGAACATACATAAGTATGTCTCTCCCAGCGTGCGCCATAGTCCCTCACCTTCCGAGTCCAATACCCCAGGTACCTTTCTCAGGTCGTAGTCCATTTGACCGGGTGACGTCCTACCTTTCATTTACTCTGTGACAAGGACATGTCCGCTCTAATGATTTGTCGGGTGATCTCATTAAGAATTTTATCCTTCAGAGGCATTCCAAGCATAACTTTGTGAGCTATGCTTGGAATGTCTCTGAAGTATAGGATTTAGTTTTATTGAACAGGTTTTTTTTAAATTAATATTGTCCCATGGTTTTAAAAAAATTAGAAAATGCTTAAAAGCGAACGTTTCCTTCTAATTTAATGTTTTTTTTTATTTTTACGTATAAAGTTGATTCAGTGGCATAGGACAAATATTTACTGCTTTATTAATACATAACAAATCTATACAAGTGTTAATTATTAAATATATGTACTTATATTAAGAATAATTTTAGTGACGAAATTACTGAAGAAATATATACTTAGACTATAAAGGTTAAATATTTATTTTCTTTAAAAGTCGAAACTTAATCTCGAATATTAATTCAGACCAATATTACTCGTAATTCAGGAATTCACTGAATGAAGACAAAATTGATCACCGAGATGTTGTAAAATGAATCGTTTATATTGTTTTAATAGTTGATATCGATTAACATTACAAATTAAGTTGCCAGAATATTAGCTATCGGTTATGAGGCCCACTCCCAACGAAAAGGATAGTACACTCATCAGGTAGTATATATATATTATGATCAAAACCTAGTATATCTTAGGTTAAATTATCCAAGGTATCTCTTACCGCATTACTTAAAACAACTTTGTAATCTACTAAAACACATATCGTTCTTAAAATTTAAAGATATATTATTATTAAATATTTATACTTGTATGAAAAGTATTAAAACTTGTGTGTAAAAGATTTGGTTACACAAATACTAATAAAACTTAAGGAAACAAAAAATAGATGTAATTATGTAAATATATAATATTCACAATTAAAATATTTGTATAAATAAATTATAGTGTAGAAAACTTAAATAAAACATGATGTAGCAAGTGTTCCACTTTTACTCATTGGCTCCACCATTAGATCATCGTAAAAGCCAATCTGTTGCATACTTAAAAAAGAATTATGAGCTCAAACAAGAGGAGTTTACCAGAAATTATTTAAAAGTTAAGCTTGAACAGCTAAACCACCCTTGGTTCAATCGTAAGATCAGTTATTATCTATTGTCATCCAAGCTAAGCGTCAGTATGTTAAAATTGACTCCTGATTAATTCACTCGTTAGTTAGCTCCTCGGGTCACCTGATAGTAAGCAACTACCCCCGCCCATGGACACCTGCAACTCAAAAGTTACAAGTGCGTTGCCGCTCCCTTAGTATCTCTCGCTCGAGTCAGCGTGAGGGGGGATTTGGACTCCGGTAACCTCACTCACTATTGCACATTTAGAGTAATATTTTATCTAAGTTACCATAGCCTAAAGCAAAATGCTCGTCTTTTACAAGCTAATGTTTTTACCATATCAGGCAATTAACGTTTGATGAGTTTTCTCGCATCAAATTATCAAATAGCATACCGTGATACTTCTTACTGAACAGTTTCGGTGGTCATCTGTAGTCTTCGTCATTAGTGCTTCTCAATCGAATATTGCTTTTCGATAGTAAATACACAAGTTAATAAAAAAAAAAACACTTTACTACTACACCACAGAATTTCATCGTCAAATACTGACCTGAGTATAATGAGGCCGACTGGGCAGCAACAGTGCGGTATAACACTAAGCGAGTAACATACATACATGAAAAGAATAAAAAAAGATCGCGAGGTAGGTTACAAGTGAGTTAATAGGCCTATATATTTAAATTAATAGACATTGGTTTTCATTTCCAGAAAAAAAACACGAATAATATATTTTATTCCTTATACTTTTAACAAATGTTTTTATATTGCAGCTAGAATCGGGCCTCGTCCAGATAACCCTCCACCATACTCTGTTGAACCTCCAAGCCAAACATCATATCCCGCTGAAACTCCAGGCCAAACTGCATTTGTCGCTCAACCTCCAGGCCAAACGTCATTTTCCGCTGTACCTCCAGGCTCGTACCAATATGCAACAGTTGTACCACCAGGCTCAGTTCCATTTACAGCTGCTCCTCAACAAGGCCAACCTCATGTCTATATAGCAACACAACCAAGAGCAGGAGCAGTGGTTCACACAGTGATAGTCCAGCAAATGAGCCCTGTGCCTACAAGCATGGTATGCAAGTCCTGTAATGTTCAAATAGTGACGCGAGTGGAAATGAACCCCACGATAAGGACACATCTTTTCGCTATGATGCTGTGTTTAATAGGGTAAGTAATAATTTTATTCAAAATATTGGCTAATCGACACATGTCAGATGTCACAAGGTAAATGTAAAGATGAGTGGGGCAGTGTTAAATACTAACTTGAATTAGCATTTTCTGTTTTGATAAAAAAAAACAAAATTCTTTATGATGTAATTCTACAACTGCTACAAGAGCATTACCTTGTACTTTTAGAGCTACTTTGTAGAATTCAGTGCTCTCGAGGAGGAAATTTATTCATTTAATACAGTATTAGTAGATCTCAGTTAACAATATTTCATTTCTGCATTATTTTTATCATCATCATCTCATCCTCTTTAATAGTTTGCACATAGGCCTCTCTGTAAAAAGATCTGTTTCCTACTATACCACGCTGGCTAGACGGATTGGTATAGGGTTTCTGTCAAGTTTTTCTTCTCTTGTGTTATTTTTATAATACCAATATTTTAACACCTGTTTATTTAATTATTTTTTTTTGATGGTTGATAAAAATGATCTTTTGATTATTTTCAGTTGCTGGCCGTTAGCATGTGTGCCTTACTGCATTGATTCTTGCTACAATTCTGACCACTACTGCCCCAACTGCAACGCTTATATTGGGAGTTACATCAACTAAATTACTAATCATGCTTTTATGAGGCATGATCTTCAATGGACCTTTTCTGACTTCGGCTATGCATGTTATAAAACCGTAATGATTCATCCAGAAATTTTCTTGATTAATGCCTGAGTTGCACATACATCACACAGAAGTCGTTACTGTATAACTGTTTTCATGTGATTTTGATTCTAATATTAAAATTATCAAAATGAAATCGTGTTTATTACTTCGTAATTATATTTGATAAGGGTTCTTTGAAAGCGAGAATATGGATTTTTCTATCCAGACTAGATTGACTAGATTTACTATTGCAATAATGGATAAGCGTCCATTCCTAGAAGTCATTGAAAACATGAATAAGTATATCAGGATAGTGAACACTTTGAAAATTAGAGTTGATAACAACGCCATCTATTACTAACTGTTGAAGTGACTGTATAACAAATAAAATTTATTATCGTCATTCTTTTTTAAAATATGCTTGATATTTTAAATTATTTAAAGAAAAAGTAACAGGGAGGAGTACTTCTAGGGATTGTGGTGAATATAGTAAATATCTTAAAATATCCAATCAAAATAACTTTTGATTTTTAGTTTTTGAATTATACTAGTAGCACTATTTGAGGATTTTATTGTATGTTTAATATTGTCAATGTGTAAATATAGATAGCAGATGGTCAACCTTCAGGATTGAAGAATAAGAAGAAAAATTGTAGTGACTGTACGTGTTTAGGATTAAAGGTTGCGTCTCGGATTGTAGAACACTTTGATGTATATTTTATTTTGTTTTAATACACTGTTAAATATTTTTTTAAGTTCAAGCTTATCATAAATAAAAGCCTTTAAAAAAAGTTGAACCGACAAGTTCAAACAATGCTGACAAAAACCACTAAAAATTTAAAATTTACAAATCTAAGTAAAAAACCTAAAATAAGTACCCTCAATTTAACAGGTAATAATATAATAGCTATAGTCCCTTCTAGTCTATTTGAAGTCGGTGCCAAAACACATAGGGGGTCATGCGGAACACATGCTGAACGAGCTAAATTGGGTTACGCACATCTCCATTAATATTATTATTTTTAATGCTTTATTAAGTAGTTGATAAGTTTGTGCATGTAATTCATCTAGTTGGCCTTTATTATTTAACAAAATCGGCGATGTTTTATGAGAATTGAATTGAACTCTTAGGTCTTCTTTTTATTGTGCTAAGGCAAAGCTGACGTAAACCAGTATTACTTATTGTGAAGTCGGTGCCAAGCGGGCTTCAAACAGACTAGAAGAAACTATTGCTATTATAATGTTACCTGTTGTATTAAGGGGAACTTCTTATAGTTTTTTTACTTCGATTTGTAATATTTTTTTAATTTTTAGTGCTCTTTTTCAATATTGTTTTATTTTATCGGTTTTAGTGTAAGATATGTTTGTAATGACTAGATAAGTACGATTTTTAAAATATGTTAGATTAGTAGTAATAGTATGTTAGATTATAATAAATATACTTTAATAAGTCCGTTACTTTATTTGGATAAGGTAGATGATGATGCTACATTTGAACTGAAAATATATTGCTTTCCACATTACTTAATTTTCGTATTGATTGTGTATTCGATTCCCACCCAGTACAAGTGACTGCAAAATGAACATGACCGTTTAGATGGAAATAAATAAATTGTTTAAGACATATAGAATAAACACAAACATTCACATACATTCATTATTTTAAACTAAGTACACGTGCTACTCCAATTACAAATATGCACCGCATTAACATATAGACAACATAATTATAAAATCAAAATTTATACACTTTACGAGATCAACAGACTAGGTTATAGTGGTATTGTAGCAAGTTTATCAGAATAAAAAAACCATAATAAAAATTTAATTTAAAAAAGTACTTCTGAAAATATACTATACTATGCATATAATTAATTTATATTAAATTCAATTAGGACCATCGATAATTTTGCGTTTAAAATGTTTAAAATAGTCAAGTGTCCTACATCAGTGATTGTATGTTGTCTAGTTATGCTTGTGCACCCAAGTCGTCGTACGTCGAAGAACTTAAAAGTATACCTGATTCTAACGTTTGGCCTGTGTACCCAGATCCCTACACGCTTAACCAGTACCTACCTGTCCCTGTGACAACACATACTATTAGTTAATATTTTCAAGTTATAGTTAGAAGTTATTGCGGTTTGAGGTTGGTAAGGCGTTACCATTTACTTATTTGTAATCTATCTTATCACCTACATAGATTAGCGAATTTTTGAAATTCCTTTTTATTTTTATGGTGGTGATAATTTGTATATTTATAAAAATGGTAAATAAATCTAATAATATGTGTTCTAACCGAATTTACAATTCAATTGATTAGACTTTTTAAATTAATATTATGAAAATAATTACTTGTATACATATGGCATAGATGTTAGTAATATACATACATACATAGATGTTAGTAATAGTAATTTTAAAAGGAAACTAATTGGAAAAACTCAGTTTATGTTGGCAGACTCAATACGCGGAGTTCATATTAAATAACAACAGAATCTTCTTAAATTTACGTTGTTTCTTTCTCACTGTACTAGTTTCATCAACAGAGTATACTGAGGTTAAACTATTTTATTTCAAAAGGATATTTACTGTTCCTCTTTTTCTAATTAAGCGGCTATCATTATTTCAAGACGTAGAGAAATATAAATTAGTGTCTTTTGAAATTTTTAAGTAGTAGCATCTTATAATGAACCTTTTTGTTATGTTAACTTAATCCAGGAACAATAAAGACTCTGAAGAAAAAACCCAAGGATTAAGAAAACATGGGTTAGTCACAGGACAGGCACAAATTTCAGAACCTAGAAACTGTTGTCGAGGGTATCCTCGAGAACTAAAACATGTTTTGAGTGCAAGGCATTAGAATTAAGCACTATATAGTGCCAGTTTTTCTTTTGGGTTATAATTTATAAATGGTTTATATATTTTACAAACGAATTTAATAATTTTAATGTATTAAAAAAAAAACAGTTTTACTAACAAATAATAGCAAAAGAACTGATCAAATATAATTCGAAATATTTTGCCGTAACTTATTAATTTCTGTATTGATTTAATAAAAAATGAAAATATCGTACACGTATCTCTTATCAAGTTTTTAAATAGTATAGATTAACAAAAAGAAGAAGATGGGGCATACTGAAACTTTCTGGATCTGGCCACTTACAATAAAAGAATGAAAAAACAATTATGGAATTCGAAAATGGAAGTCTTTGGAAACATGTTACTTTTTTTTTATTGACTGTCATTTTTTTTTTATTGTATAGTCCTTTCGAAAATTGTGTGTCGCTATCAAAATTAATTTAACCCGTGAACATATGCATTCATTGATTTTTTATGATTTTAGTTTTGGCTTAAGTCAACAAGAGAGTTGCCAGCGACTTCAATTGGCATTTGGTGATGAAGCGTCATGTCGCAGCTCTGTGTATTCGTGGTTTGGAGAATTTATGACGAGGTACGTGAAGGTCGGCCGGCGACTACGGTTACAGATTCTAATATTGATATCGTGCGAAAACTTATTGAAGTTTACAAATAAATACTTGCCAGCAAATTCGTGATTTGTTATGCATTGGAATGAGTCAAGTGCAAAACATTTTACATGTGCATCTGAAGGTTCGGAAGCTTTGCACTCGATGACTTGTATACCGCATAACTTAACGAAGGGCCAGGAACGCCTGCCTGTCCAGTAGTGCTGTAAAATAATAAAAAGTTTAACGGAGGTCAGTCATTGGCTGTCTATAATATCGTGACAGGTGACGAAACCTGGATGTATTGCTTTGAATCCGAAAGAAAAAGCCAGTTGGCAGAGTAGGTCTTTCCTTTTAAAGATTTGCCGACGAAAGTTAAGAAAAATTGAAGCAATGGTAATAAAATATTTTCTTTTTTTTCGGCAAATGAGGACATTATCGAAGATCAAAGGACAGAGACTCCAGATTGCTATGTCAACACTTACTTGCCCAGAGTCTTAGAAAAAGTACGCCAAAAGCGTCCTTGAAGCAATGTCCTCCTTCAACACGATAACGCATCCTCACATTCCGATAAGTTAACAGAAGCCTATTTGAAGGCTTCAAATGTGGAACTGATGACGCATCCGTCTTACAGCTCGGACCTCACACCCTGCGACTTCTTTTTGTTTCCAAAAATTGACCGGGTGACCCGTTTACTAGTTGGCCACCTATATTTATAAAAAAGGAAGGTGACAAGAATAAAACACAAAGAACAAAGTCATTAACCCTAAAACGAATTTGCAATGTTTATTATATTATCTATGTATCTGTTTACATCTTCTGCTAGACTGATTACAGAAAGTGCTCTAACACAAATCACATTTTGAAAGTTTAAAAAAAATATACATCACACATAACAATAATCAATTTACAAGCACAATATACAATACAATTGACATATTATATTTATTTTACTGATGAAGATGACTGATTAATTGTTTATTATTGTATTATAATTACATAAAGGTGGTTCTCACTGGGAGCATTCGCTAGTATCTCGGTTTGACCTTTACATCCGTGGGTTTGAATAAGACAGCTTATAACTCCGTGAAGCAATATGTACCAACAGTGTACACCATTTTAGCAGTTAAAATAGTGGGACTGAGATGTTGTAAAAAGGTTTATTGGACTGTACGCGAAAGCTTAAAATATAATTATGGTTTATTACCTTACAAGCATATGTTCATCAGTGAGTGAGGCAGTATTGTAACGTAATGCTTAAAATGTTCAGGGATTGTTACATCTCAAACTGCTGATGAATGCTCGCTGTGGTCCGCCATAATAAAACATACAATAGAGCGCTGCGATGCTATAAACGTATTTATTTGTCTAGCGTGTCTCTATTAGCATAAATTGGACATAACTAACATAAACAGTCGTATTTGAAGTTTTTACGCCTTTTAAATGTTTTTATTACCCCTCACTTTACATCCGATACAATTTCAATAGTCCACTGAAATATGTTTTGAGTGCAAGGCAATTTGATAAGTACAACAATAAATCTAAGACCCCAAACATTATTAGTAGCTTGAGATCACTTTCATATTATTAAAAGTAAAATAGTAGAAGTTCAGTTGACGTAACTTCCTATATAAGCGTTGCAGCTTGGACAGTAATGGTCAGCGCTATTGCAGGAGTCCATACAGTAGGGTAAACACGCAAATGGCCAACACCTGAAAAGGAACAGCAAAATATACCAGTGACAAATAAAACATAAAATGTTAATGTACTTTGCTTTATATAAACCTATTTAATAATAGCAACATGAGAGCTAGCATTATTTTGAAAATTTTATAGTGCCAATTAATAAATCTTACTTTATTCGCATAAGCAAACTTTACTTTAATTTTCAGTCTGTAAAGTTTGAAATAATACCCAACTTATTAAAACACTACACATATAAACTAATGTATATAACTAATTTACTGTATTTTTTATAACTAGTTATTTGATTAAATTGAAACATGTTGTTTTCAAGGCAAATATTAAAACCGGATAGTTTTAATAGCTAAGCCAAATTTCAAATGAATATTTACAGTTATTAGAATTAAGCAATGACGTAAATATGTCAAACTCCAAAAAGGCAATCAAAGAGTAAAGTGAGTTGTTGCTCATACGTAATTACTAGTACATTCTACTCCTCTAATCTATAGCTGATTATGTAAACACTGCTAATGGTACAATGCATCATCCTATGTTGTAGTAATCACTACAAAACTGTTTGGATGGTTTCCCAGAATTTAACATAAATACCAATTTCCTATATCTCGCTAGTAGAGAAAACATACAACTTACCCAATTAAACATAATACAAGAGCAAACAGATGAGTCTTCGTAGTTGGTTGGAATTCCACTCTAGTCTGTATCTGATGATTGCAAGATTTGCATACAATGGTTGTTGATCTGGGTCCCATCTGCTGCATAACCACTGTATGAACAACTGGTCGAATTGGTGGTGCTGTTGGAAGTGTCATATTAGGACCTCCTGGATTTTGAAAACTTTCTGAATATGGTGGAGGTTTATCTGGAGGTGCACCGGCCATTTTACCTATAAATAAAAACAAACTTTTTAAGCAGCCATATATAAACTGTGGCTCGTCTCGTTGTTTAATATTTAAGTAAAGAGTTTTTACAGTAGGTATATGTAAAGAGATAAAACAATGGTTTTGTGACGTGCTCTAGGCTACTATAACAATATATATTACAGCATCTCCCTCTCTTAGTAAATTTACTAAAAGAAAAATATACAAAATCCAGGAATGGTATCCATTCTAATTTGATCCTTAATCGGCCTAGATGCCACAATGAAACAGAAATCTTCGAATTGATGTTTTATTGTGGTCACTTAACCTTGTTAAGCTACTACTACTAAGTATATTTTGACGCAATTGTCTAAAAACTAACAACTTTACCAGAGTAAATATACTCTGGTAAAGTGTTTAGTTTTTAGACAATTCTTTCAACAAGTCTTTCGACAAGTCTTTAAATAAAAGACAAGTATGATATAAGTTCCTTTAAGGTCCTATAAAATAACGCATGCTAAAGACATTTATTTGCTAATGAAAAGTGGTTACGTCAGAATAAACCTGCTATCGTAGTGATCCGCATTACAAATTTTTTTTTTGTTAAACACTGATAAACTTGTGTGAAAGCATTTTGTGAACACTAGTAACATTGTAAGTGGATAATATCAAAGAGTTTTAAAATCATGGAATAATACGATAAGAGGTGAGATTTGCATTAGAATAGCTTTAAATTTACTATAGTAAAAGTGGTTGAATTTACAGTATTGCCGAGTTAGAAAATCATTCCGTTTTAGTAGCATTATTTTATAGTTCGGGTTAATACCATTTCTAAAGAAATTAGTGCTTTCTGCTATATAAATAAGGTAAAGATTTAGGAAATAAAGGACTTGGTTGACTACAAAACACTTGTTAAAACTCCTGAAATTGAAATCGTGCAAATTGAGGCACCTCTTCGTAATTTAACGAAACGAATTAATTTCACTGAACAGCAGGCCTGCGATAATAACGTTAAGATCTAGTGTGTTCTAAAAAGGAGAAAGGAAACCTACTCAGCATAGCTTCAAACTTAAGCAAATTAGTTAACAGTCTAGTCAAGGAATGCGATATTATAAAATGTAAACCACGCTCTATTGTTGTCCAACTCTCTTGTGCGAGAAAGCGGGATTGCTTTCTTTCGGCATGTTTAAATTATTATCAAACCCCGTCCCCTAAAGACAAGCTCCTTGCAAAGCATGGGTTTTCGTGAATGCTCAGGTAATTACTTTTAATCTCCCATATTAATCTGTAAGCATCTCTCACCTACAACTAATGTTTTGCTTGATTGGGAGCAAAGAAGAAGAGAAGAGAAGTAGAATTAAATACACACACTCATGTTTTCTATCCTTAAAGGGGTAGACAGAGGCATACTTAAAAACCCACATGTAACTCATTATAATACCAGTCCCATTCACGTAACAAGGGGGCAAGCCTATTGCTACCATTGAATGGATCGTTTGTCGTCGTCTCTTCTCTTATTAACAGCCTACAATAGTCCACTGCTGCCCTTTCCTTAGAAAGGAGGTTATGGTCTACTATACCACGCTGGCCAGACGGGTTGGTATTTTCTTAGCGCTTCAAATAACAATTGTAACTTGACACATGATGTGATACACGGAGCCTGTACTATGGTAACCAGACTAGTTATTAATATACTTTTATATTTTTAAATACATACATATTATAAATAAATTACACTCAGATACAGAACATATGGTCGTGCTCATCACACAAATATTTGTCCTGGGTGGGAATCGGACCCATGACCTCTGACTTAGCAGTCAGGATTACTAACATCTAGACCAACAGGCCAGTCATCAAATGATGATTTTAAAACTTTTAAGCACTAGATTTCAGTATTATTGAAATATTGTGATACAACAACACTCATGTTTCTTGGATTCAAAGCGATTAAATCCGTGTCGAACCACATCTCCTGTTATTTAATGCTCAGTGTTTATCTAGTGAATGTTTCCTCACTATTACTGATTCTAATTTATACGTGTTTAACTCTAAAATTCGACCCGACTAACTGTTTGCATAGATTTTATTTTTAGATTGTGTAATACCGAATACAGTGTACGTTGCTTCACGTTATCGTTTTAAATATTTTCATAATGAATATATCAAATTTGATCTTGTCCAGATTTTAACTTTAAAACAAATTATTAAAATCACATGAATAATATTTTTAGAAGTTATCGATAATGTAGTTTTAAAAATTTACATTATAGATTTATTCCTTGGAATATTACAATTGAATAAAAATTGAATAAAAAGAGAGTAAATGATTAAATCGTCTTTTATCACACGATACCGCTCAGTAAAACCTGCAGAAGGTTTCACTAAAATGTTTTAAATTCACTGTAACTGACTACAATTTATCTAAAATATTAGGATGGAAAGGTAGACTAAGTAAAGTAAAATTAAATCCAAAGTTTCAGTACACGAATAGTAACCTGATTTACTAATCACTTATATCACAACTTTACTACGTAACAAAAATGTTGTTCTATTAAATATAAGCACAAACATAAAAAAAAGATCACACATGAATAAAAACTATAAAAAACAACAATTCAATACTAACTGTCTCTTAATTCCATTTTTTCCATCACAAGTTAAAACGCACAAGAATTTCTTATCGCTGACTAACGATAGTATACCTTGTTAAGATTCAATACAGACTAACCAAAGCCGTCTACGTACCAAGGAGAATAAACACGTGTAGATATAAATAAAACATAGCGGCAACTTGTTAGTCTACAACAACTTATATTATTATTATCATTTGAACTCACTCACCTTGTTTTTTTTTTTGGAAAAGATTTCTTGTTTTAACTAAGATTATTTAAAACAATAGTTGTTTAGGCATCAAAGAATATAAGTAGATGTTTGTTTTTTTAATAACTCGCTTGATTTACGCAAGTGCATCGACGGAGCTGAGATAACTGTTATATTTGTTTCATATTTCATGTTGGTGTAGAGTTCAGTTATAAGTTTTTGCTAACCAAAGAATTAATACTAGATAAAGCTAGATAAGGTTGAATTAATTACAGCATTTTATGATATTAACTATTTAACATGAGTTACTTGAAAGAATCATATCTCACCCAGCCTTTGGTTTAAGAAGAGGCAATTTGAAACGTGTGGTGTGGTGTGCCACTGGGGAGCATCTTTTTTTTGGTTTTTTTTTTGTTGACGGTATGGAAAATCCCTTCGGATTTCCTGCTCCTGGGGGACTCAGGAACCAGGATTATATGGTGATTCCACTAAAAACCATCATGAAAGCCAGCCTCGGCGCTCTACTCTGTACCCAGACCATGTGATTTCAGGTCCTCTCCGAATAGACACCACGCCTAATCAGGCCTTATCCCAGGGCAAATGACTTTCCCCATTCAATCGCGGCGTGGCGGCCCGATCGCATCTTAATGCGATTAGGCCGACATCCTATCTCCTATCGCAATAATTAATCTGCCACCAGAGGTCCCCACTCTTTGGCGTAACGCGGCCCCGTCGACGGTTGGTGTCACTGCCGACGTCCTCTAAGCTCGGGGTCGGCCCTCTTCCGATCCTGTTCAGCGGTCTCTTTCTGAAGCATTAGAGCCTCACCGGAAGACCACTGTGCCCCATCCCTCCACAGCCGCCAGCAAGGCATCAATGATTGCTGGCGGAGACAGATCTCGACCGATTAGGTAGACCAGGACTTCGGGATCAGACGCCCACGCAGGGGAGTCTTCCAGCGTGTGCTGGGCGGAGTCTCAGTCGGCTGCACAGTGCTGGCAGTGAGTGCCTCCATCAGTCCGTAGGTGACGCAACCTAGCTACCCAAGCTTCGAGGTTAGGCAGAACGGTACCGACAGCGCGACGGCACTCTCACTCCGGCGGATCGCACCAGGGGCATCCTAGAGACTCTATGTTAACGATTAATAGGGGGTATTATGGTTGTGCAAATATCTGATGGTTAAATATGAAAAAAAGTTGACTTTTAAATAATCCTTTTGAAAAAAAGGTCCATTAAAAAAAAAAAAAAAAAACTAAAAAATTTTTCAATTAATTTTAAAATTCCCATTTAAAATTTTTTCGTGCGTCATTTTTAAAAGGAAAGGGTTTATCGTGGGTTGATAACAATTCAGACCCTTTTGGGGTAGAGATATCCGAAACAAAAAAAACCAAGAAAAAAAAAAAAGTTTTCGTTACGCATCTAACAATGTGGTAAAGTTTCTGTACACAACGTTAACACGAGCTTTGGAGACCTTTTTGGTAAAAATGAAGATACCTATTTAAATTTAACAAATAAGCTTTCAACTTAAAAACTTTTTTCGGTGAAAGAGGCAAAGTTTAATATTTCAAAATCACTACTTCAGAGAGAGTCTCTTTCCTCTAGTCGTCCCTGTTGATGTTGTTTTTTTTAAACTAATTCCCCGTGTAATGTAGTACAGTAGTAGTAAATCAAATATAAATTTTTACAATAATAATAACTTTTACCCTCTCAGACATGACTCTGATTCCCCTGATTCCAAGCTAAACTTTAATACGGTAACCAGACTTTTTTAATCCTATTATAAATGAATTAACTCAAAGTAGAACAAAAGACTGTACAAATATTAAAATAATTTTAATACACGGAAAGTTCCCGTTTTTAATGTGTTATGCGAAAAGTTTTGATGTTTACTTAGCAAAAACATTTTTTTTTTTGTTACATTTTGTAATAAGTAGTAG